CCGATTAAACACCAAATACTGGCAATACATTGACAACCTTGCCTGAACAGATGCTGTGTCTCTGGGAGTATGGGATAATAAGGAATTCTTTTCTCCCTGTACAAGTCAGGAGTTATCAGTCCTCTTCCTGAAGCAGTTCTATGTCTACAAATGAAGTATGACTAGCGTACAAAAACTAAACAAGAAAGAGGCAGAGTTAAGACCTTGTTGAGTTTGGTATTTGCAAGCCAGAGCCATTTTACCATCACAAATTTTTTTTGCATTCTGTAACATTCTCATAATATCTGTAAGCATCAGCATGTTACTGCAGCTACCCCAGCAGGAAGAGTTAGTAAGGGACAAGGTACCAGGACCTTACTGGTGTGGAGATCCTCTACAGCAAGAATGGACAAAGGGTGGAGAAGTTCTACCACAAAAGGCCCTGCCTATTTAGGGACACCAGCATGACTTACTAACAGCAGCTTTTAAGCCAAGGGAACACAGTGGCTGGTAGTGAAGCTGGCTTGTGTCCAGAAGGGGAAATAAAATGCTTCTTCAGGTCACACAGTGCTTCTCACACCTATAAAAAGGCAGCCGCAACCTTAAATCAATAATGATATCAAAAAAGCTCTTCAGAACACAATCACATGTGTTACTCCACTTCATAGCTGCTGTAACCTGACATAGAATCTGACTGCCAAATAAACAGCCACTTTGTATGCTCAATTGTCTTCAGCACTCAGAAAATATTCAGCAAATAAACAATTATTTCTTCAGACGGGATAGAAAGGGATAGTCAGCTTTAAATGAAAATTTCCCCTACAAGTTAACATGTCTTGGCAAGAGCTCAATAATTAGCACTGTTATGAACAATCAGCTTCTTTTTTTAGTAATTCTCATTATTTTGCTATAGAACCAGGGTATAATTCTTATTATTTTACAATAGACCTATTGCCACTCAAACTTGACCCTCACAGAATGACCATTCTCAATGCAGTACTGAATCTTCACCAAACAACCCTCCACACCCATGCATCTTACACATTAGAAGCCTTATCTGGTAAACAAATCCTGAGAATTAGAAGATTAGGTTGGTATTTTACATTATTTCTTGAATTCTGTAGATTCCTTCCTTATACAAGTAACTTTACTATATAAATTACTTCTTTCCCCATAAAGTTCACTACTACATAAAGATACAGCTGTAAAAATCAAATTACAGTAGGATTGCATACTTATAAATACTGATTAAAATGGCAAAGAAAAAGAAAACAGAACTTTATAAGTACCTCTTTAATGGATAACATCGTATTTGCAGAAACTGCATTGGAAAGTGTTATGATGAGAGCTGCAACTCTGTTTTAAATACCCATAATTAAACAGCAATTTTTCCCCTCTGTCAGAGACTCTGGGACAAAATTTATTTTTGACCACTGAAAACAACGAGCTCGGTTCAATTAAGCTCATCCAGTACATATTAAAGATATTATGAAACATTTGTATCATAGATATAGAAACAAAACACACAGAAAACCTGGGAGACAGATAAATAAGATCACTTGTGCTAGTTTGTCATGAACTAGCAGAGCTTCAGTTACTCAAAATAGAGCAGACTGCCCAGAACTGGTTTTCACACATAGTTTTTATTTGCCTTACTTGGATACTGAAAATCTTTTGCTGAACAAGATACTAAGTTCTAAAAAAAGAGAGTGGCTCTCATTAATCTGCACATTTATTAGCAAAAAAATGGAAGAGTTGCAATAGTACATGAAGTCCACTCATAAAATAAAGCTAACTGAACTCCATCTGAAAGCTCAGGTGTTCCAACAAAACATGTGTCCTTACAGCAAGTCCTAACAGTAATTCCTTAGGACACCACATCAAAACCAACACGTATTCCAGGTACACTCAACTAGCTGAACAAGGACAGAAAGGAAATAAATGAGGAGTTATCACCTCACCTGTATGCCAGGTGTGCTCTCAGGGGGGCTCAGAATGACTGCTAGGACTATGATGCAGCTCAGCTGAGAGCTTTGTGAAGAGATGCGAATCTCAAATTTCATTGCAAGAGGCTGTCTCTACATTTTGTGACCATATTCAGCTCATGCTCCACCTCACGTTTATGAGAGGAAAACCCCAAAACATCTGTATTATCAGAGCAAAACTCTGATTATCTTTTAAAAAGTCCCTCTCCTAAAAACTCCATTTTGCCCTATAGCCTGAGAAAGCCTCAGGGAAGGACAGTGATCAGCCAAGGCAAACCCCTGCCTCTCTAGCACATCTTATCCCCCACAGTTCCAGACCAACCTCTGTCATTTGTCTGAGTGCAATGAATGTCTCAAGGACAGTACTACAGTGTTGTTTTACTTATGCACAGCATCTTGTACTGACACTCCTGGCTAACTATTAACGCAAATTGTTGATGATAAAAGATTGAAACCATGAATGAAGCACAGCTTCTAGAGTGACTGCAGCCCAAAGCTATTAGGGGAAGCTCTTAGGTCACTCCCAGCAATTGGTCTACAAGTGAGGTAACAGTCTCTACAAAGTAACTGCAAGTCATCTATGTTTTCAACATTTGGCTCAAGAAAACACAGACAGCATTACAAGACTAATTTTGTACTGCCATTCAAAATAGATCATCATTTACACCCAGGGAAAATAATTAGAATCTGAGAAATTAATTCAGATACACTTTAAAATCCTTTTCTTACAGAAAAGGGGATGACTACACTTCATAACTGAGACCTCTGTGGCAAAGCCATCTTTGATACAACTTTATTCAAGGTGCTGCCTGACATATCAGCCACTGCCTACACTAGTCCTGTCCACAGTACCATTCCTGAAAAGCACTCAAGAACTTGAACAATATTTTAGGGACATTTCCTTTACAACAGATACATTACTGAAATGAGGTTTTTTTAATGAAAGAAAATACGAACAAGTTATAAATGACACCATCTCCAGCAACAAGTGGACTGTCTCTGTGAACAGTCTTCTAGAAGTTATTACTCCTTATTAACCTAAAGCTTTAACCTCATTTTATTACCATGGTACTTCACTATACTGTCACTTCAAATTACATACCAGAAGCCTATTAAGAAATGTTTCAGAGATCTTGCTTTTCCTAAAAAAGCTCTGCTTACTGCAAGTTCCATCACTACTACTTTCTCTTAACAGCTTACTTCATGCTGGAAGGTGTTAGGATGTGTTTTTAAATCAGTGATACCAGAAAGTCATTAACTACTACCCTATCTGAAGTTCATAAAACCAGAGTTTTAGTCTTTTCTGTTGGGCATGTTCGACAGCATTTTTAATAAAAATCATTAAATCCATTAACTGCTTAGACATGCAGAGCACTAAGTATTTTAAGGACCTATTTCTGATTCTTTTTCATAGTTGTAGACTGATTACACAGCAACTAAGACTTTGCTTGTTTTCTAAGCCTGAAGAAAACTGTCAGGAAAACTTAGAAATAGCAAGTAGATATTAATCTTATTCATTACAATAGACTTAAATTGACAGAGTCCCTTTATGGGCAATAAAAGATGTCAAGGAAGTAAGAGAAATCTGACTGCTTAAGAGATGTGTTTTCCAACAGGTAGGAATCACAATTGGAGCAAATGATTTAAATTTGCTATCAGTTACATCTGCATCAATCAGGAATAATTTCACTGCCATATTGCAAGAATTTATAAAAATTACTACAAAACGTGGCACATTTGCTTCAAAGAGCCTTTAAAATACATGCTTCATAAAAGTCATTTCCACCCAGATTCCACTATAGCAAGAACTCTCAGAAGAACAGTTCTTGGTTTTGTTAAATAAAACTCTCTAATCTTTTAATCTTTGAGAAGATTAAAGCTTGTAACTACCACCTGATCAGGATGATGAAATTCTACTAGTGCAATTGATTATAAAAAATGCAAAACAGAACCAAGCCTTTCATATTTATGAAAAGTATAAACCCTTCTGCTATTAAAGACTTTTAAAAACATTTCTTCTCAGTTGCACAGGAAGATTCTAATTCCTTAAAATTTTAATCAAAAGAGTAGCAAAAGCAGTAGAAAACCATTGGCTGCCAAGTCAAGAACACGTTTTAACTGGCTTTGTTAGAAATCTGTCAGAAGTTGAATTAAAATAAACTTGCTTAAAGCATATTGTACTTCCATAAATTCACTATTGTATATGTGCTGTAAAATCCACACCACAAACATTACTGTACAATCTTAATTTACGTTACAATATAACAAAGACATTTTTTTAACTGCTGACTTTACATCAGTTGGACACTTAATTTAGGCTACAGATCTTCGAAAGGACTCTTTCATTCACTAGTTGAGTGGGCTAAGAATTGCAGCATCCCAGCTGCAGAAAATCTACTATAACGCCAAAAAGAAGAAAATTATAAACATTTAAAAAGCCTGCAATCGCCTACTGATCTATTTAAACATTAATTAGGAACAGCAAGAGAAAATCCATGTTTATGTCATAAAATTGTCAGATCGACAGATCATAAAGTCTTTGCTTCTGTATAACAACTTGGAATTCAAAACACATTTACTAATAGTCATGAACCTTGATACAGCACTTAACAGCTTAATCCTTTAATTTCTCACATCACTTTTACTTAGTTATGATGTGTTGTGCATTGGATCCCTCGTGAACAAGGACCTTGAGGGTCAGCTTTTAACAGAAAAGTTTGAGAAGAGGCTAAAAGAGAACGAAAGGCAGTCAGGTACAAAGTGAGACACTGATCACGCTTTCAGACACTGAAAGCTGCTACACCGCACACAGATGGTCTTTCACCCCAGCATACTTTTCAAAAACTAGTCAAAGTCGAGCCGACGAAAGGCACAAAGGGACTTCGGAGCACAGGTGTACAGCAATTTAAAAAATATCCGCGCGTCTTTCCCGGGGGGCGGGGACGTGTCTGTTCTCTGGCCGAAGGATGCCCAAACCCCGACAGGTTTATCCAGGTACGTTCACCTCCAGAGAGCACTGGACCTGCACGCACTTACCGCACTCGCCAGCTCCGCGCCCAGCCAGAGGAGCAGCAGCCCCAGCGCCCTGCGGAGAGGCAAAGGGACACACAGTCACGGCGGGGAGCGGGGGCACCGCGGGGAGCGGGGGGGCCGCGCTCGGCACTCACCCTGCGCGCCCCATGGCCCGGGCAGCCCGCAGGCACGGCCGAGGAAGAGCAGGGTCCGCCGTCATTCGAGGCGGGCAGGGCACCGTGCGGCTCCTTCCCGGCGGAGCACCGAGGGTGCCCGGCCCCGGAGGAGCGACCCGGCTGGAGCCACCAGCGCTGCCTGCCCGCCCGCTCTCGGTCACCGCTCGCTTCCCGCGGCGCGGCTCCGCAGCCCCTCCAGGCGCTCGCAGCGTGCCCGGGCAGGAAGTTCGCGCGGTGTTCGCCGAGGCGTCGCACCTGAGCGGGGCCGGATGGGCCGGGACCGAGCGCGGGCGAGCCCCGCACCCGCCCCTCCGGAGGGGCGACCCGGCACTGCCAACAACTCCCCCTGCCCTCACACGCACACAGAGCGGCTTCCGCTGCAGAAAATAGTCCGGGGTCCAGCTGCCCGCCCGATGAAGGTGCGGGGCGGGGAGAGGCGGCGCCCGCCCTTGGAGCCGACAAAACCGCGGCGCCCGGGGGCAGGGCGGTCGCGGGGGATCGCGGCCCCCTCAGAGCGGAGCGGCAGCGCGCCTCACACCGCCCGCCTGCCCGCCCCCGGAGCGGAGGAATACTGTAGTCCCGGGAGGACTTGAGCCGGGAGAAGCGGGCGAGTGCGGCAGAGGGGCGGGCGCTGCCATCGGGGCGGCCGGCGGGAGCCGCCTGCAGGAGCCGCGCTGCCCCGCCGGGCTATGCCCGCGCCGCAGGGCCGGCCCCGGAGCTCCTGAGCGGGCGGGATGGAGCCGCGGTGGCGGAGCTGCAGCCTGGCCGCCGGCTGCCTGGTGCTGGTGCTGCTGGGGTGCTGGGGGCCGCAGGAGGCAGCGGCGGCGGTGAGTGCGGGGCGCCCTCCTTGTTCTCCGCGGGTGCTGCCCGGCGCCGCTGTCCCCACCGGGCGCGGCCGCCGCGCGGAGCCTCGGGGGGAGCTTTGGAGCCTCGAGGATGGGGTGGCTGAGGGTGGGCTCCCCCTGACAGGAGCCCCGCGGCTCCTGCGGCGGGCGGGGGTCGGCGGCGGGGCCGGGCCCCGCCGGAGGGTCTCTGGGCTCCCGCAGGTGCCGGGGCTGCCGGGCGGCCCGGCCCCGCACAAAGCCCCGCGGTGCCGTCGGGCCGGCGTTGTGCGGGACCCTCACGGCCAGGACCGCCGGTGGCTGCGGGGAGGTAGGAGAGCGAGCGGGAGTGCGGGGCGGGGGGAGCCCGGGTGAGCTTTGTGCGGGCTCTGAACCCGCTGTTCCTCCGGGACAAAGGAGGAATGAGTCCCCCTTGCCTTTCCCCCTCCTCAAAGGACCTCCGTGAAAAGGTGTCTGAGCTCTAGCCACTGAACCATCACCTGCCGCCCCGAGTCGCACCTGGACGTGGCAGGGAGTTGGAGGCATGTGGGCATGGCTTGCCGAAGGATACTGTGCCTCACTCTGGGGCTTAGTTTTCCCGAGGGTTATATTTATGCTTTCGTAAAACCCAAGCTGAGGTGCTAACGGAGATGGCAAATGCGTGCACTGTAGCAGGGAGTGCACAGTAAACGACCTGGAGAAGAATTTTCATCTCTGTCTTTGAGAGGGGGATGCTATCCAGCTTTCCTGGAGTAGCAGGGCCTTGAAACTGAGAGGTGGGAGAGGTGATCCCTGGGTTCAGGTTTCGAGGTATTTGACTGAGACCTCCAGCTGTTAAAGAGTGGGAAAATTAACTAAAAAGGCTGGTGCATTTCACTAAAACGCTCACACTAACATGGGTTAACTTCAGATTTTTACAATCCCTTTCTCTTTTTGATTTTTTTTTTTTAGTTTACTTGGAAAGGAGAATGAGTCCAGATTGCTGCTCTTTAGGATTACTCTCTAGTTGAAAAGTCATAATATGTTACAGTGATAAGTGTAGAGTACATTTCTGTGACTCCCCCCTTCGATTTTGTAGTTAGAGCTGACAAAATCTTATTTGTCTTGAACTCTCCTTTGAAGTGCATTCCTTTACAGTGAAACTTTGTAGACCTTTCATCTGCCCCCTGAAAAAGCAAAGACCAGCCATAATATACTTCCTTCCTCTTTTACTCCTCCTTCTTACCGTGCCCAGGTGGGAACCCAAGTGTAAGTGATACCAGTGTGCCACCAGTGCTTACTGGGACGGGGAACTGCCTGTCTCCACATTGTCTGTGACACCAGTTCTGCTGCTCTGCTCGGCACCACCTCACCCCAGGCTGCCTGCCTTGACTCCCACCCCAAAGGAGGACCCAGGCAGTCCCACCTACAGGGCTTCACTGGTTTAGCAGGTGGAGTTTGAAGATGGGGAGGTTTGTGTGCATAAATGTGGCCCCTTCCTTTCTTCAGGAAAGCATCCAGGCACAGTTCCATGTGTGTGGTTGGTGGGAGTCTGTGGGGTCTGGGAAAAGGACTGTGGTGACCATGTAGGCAGTCCCCTACCTTGGAAGAAACAAAGAAAGGAGCAAAAACAGTGGTGGAATTTCTGATTCTTAACACCACCTTGTGCTGCAGCCTCTCTTTTAGGATTTGCAGTGAGCTAAGATTAACTGATGGGGGGAAAGAGAGAGATGCCTCTGTTCCAACCTACATAAATCCCACTGGTCTTTTGTTGAAAAGGTCTAATGGTTTTCTCAATACTTTGATGTTCTGAGGTCCTTTAATTTCCTGTGATAATACTAAATTATGCTGATCCCTATTAATGAGGATCAGCAGTTTATTCCTCCCTTTGTCAGAAAGGGTTGACTAAATGCTGTAGCAGTATTATTCATATACACTGTCTCTTCTGTGAATCTTCTTTTGGGATCTTTCGTCAGAATCCTCCCCCCAACAGGATAAATTTGGTGTGATGGCTTCAAGTCATTCTGGCGTCCTTATTCAAATAATATCTGAAATTGTTATTCAACATTTTAATGCACATTTCAAATAAAAAAGTTGTACCTTCTTTGCTCCGGCTTATTTGTAATAGCGTATATGGGTGTGATCAGTTAAAAAGTGACAGAATATAGCTGAGAGTCACTTGCCAGTGTGCACATCATAGGGAAATCCTAGTTATTAAAAACACCCACTGCGTTTCATACTCAAGTAGGGATGGATTTCATTGTTCTGATTTTATTGCTGGGTTTTCATAGCCCATAGTCTGAACTTGGTGAGTAGTGTATGGATCATGCTGTGCACTCTTGTGCAGACTCGTTGATGTAGAATGATAACTACTGATGAACAGTGTAAAAGTTATTGGGAGTCTGAGAATGGTTTTACTTAAGAGTGAGAAAATGAATGAGTTGGAAGATGGTGTCATCAATGCATGAACTGATTTCAAGCCAGATTACTAAAAAAAAGTGCTTATTTGTTGTATGCTTTCAGCAAAAGATATGAGTCCTTATGTATGTTAACAGAAATATTATTGCTTAAGTGTCCTGGTGGTTTTAATATGAATAAATATACATTTACATATATGTATATAAGCTAACTAGCTCTTTTATAAGCAGATTTTTTCCCCCTCTCCTGGCAGGTTTACACTTGCACTGTGTTATAGAAAAAGTGACTGTAAGCTGTGACTAGGAAATCTGTTTAATTAAATAACATAAATGGGCTAGATTCTTGAATTGGGCTATCTATGGAACTTACTTGAGGTTAGTGACTATCTATTGACTTATATTGAGAAGAAGTTTCCCTAATAGTTAAGGCCTAGATTTTTAATGTGTAAATAGACTTTGTCAGCCCAGAATTACTAAAAATGAAATGGTTTCAGTCTTTTTTCTTTGCCTTCCATTATAATTCCAGTCTGATTAGAAGTATAAGGCTGAAAACAGTTGTTTAAATATGGTAGGGCAGGCTGGCAAGATGGCTATTATTTGTATTTAAGGAAGTAATGTATTATTTGTGAAAGTTCTCTAAGTTTGGTTGAGGTTTTTTTTTCCTTTCAAAGGTTACCATATATAAATATGTGCTACCATGTCATTAATGACAATGTACATGATTAATAGTTAATTTGTAAGTGATGGTCAGCTGTGTTTCTCTTGTTTGTCCAAACTATTTTATTGTGGTAGTTATTATTTTCCATTTCATAACTGGCAGGGGCTCTTTCTAGTTATAAAATCTAGGTTTGTAAAAGCAGAAAGAAACGGATGCTGGCTTTTAGGATTCAGAAAGTATTTCATCCTGAAATTCCGTGGATGTGTCTTGATTAGTCATGCACAAGACTTGGTTTTATAACATCAAGGCTCAAGCCCTTCTGCTTCCAACTTGCCATTTGTCATATGTTTTGATTTTGACCTTTCGTGGCTCTTAATTAAAGACATATAGTAAAATGACATATCTCAAGTTGTGTTGTGGCATAATAAAATACAAACAAATCCAAGGAATCTGAATGAAACGGAATGTGAGAGCTATTTGGACCACAACAGAATCTTTTGCAGCTATGCATACAAAATCATTATGTATTTTAGTCATTTTTTCCACATGATGGAAATGCTGATATTTCAGTGGAACTTCCTAGGCTTTCATTTTCCCGAATGAATGAATAAATCTATTCACTGAAAGCAATTATTAGTTACCTTTTTCAAAAGAGAAAGGAAAATTTTCCTAGGACAAAGTGTTATTTAATTTATTTAACAGTAAATGTAAATTTTTGTAGTGATTTTTTTTTTCCTACTGTGAATAAGCAATGACACTGTAATGCAGTTAACTGCTGTTGGATTTACTAGAACATGTGAATACTTTTCTCTATTACAAAACAACTGAAAACATCAATAACATCCCAGCAAATCTAATGTGCCTGTTTTCAGTCTGGGGCAAAATGAGGTATCTGCTCCACATGTACAGTGAAGATGCATTGTGCATTTTTACCTTTCATTCACTAAGATGCTTCCTCCTCCAATTGTATTAGTTGTGTAAACTCTCCACTGATATCACCACAGGACAAGATATCCAGATAACACTCACTTACATGTTCTAGGAATAGTATTGCACAAGTGCACTGAATGAAGAGCAGCCTCTGCCAGTGGTGACACCAGACAAAGTGCTTTGAGAGAAGACACTTCAGGCAGCATGCTTTATCCTTTACCTCCTGGGGAAGGTTTGCAATGCAATTAAACCTTACTTAATATCACTGGTACGGTGCAGCTTCTGAAAAAGGTGGTGTGCTGAGCATCCTGATTGTGTAGTTGTTTGGTGTGTGGAGGAGAAGCTTCAATGTAATGTGAAATTGTCATCAGAATAAACATAGCTGAGCTGAACAGGAAAGGATCCTGTTATAAAAAGAAATCCAGTGCTTATTTTAAAAAAATTGCTTTGCAATTGA